TCAATTTTCAAATGAGAAATGCTGGGAGAAATAATTAGCCTTGGTCCCCAGAATGGCACGCTGAAGTATGCCTTAAAGGCCTCGCACATTATACGACTTGCGTCCACTGAATACATTTTTTCTCTTGTCTTTATAAATTGTCCGCACACGTAGAAGACATTACTGAAGTGATGTCATCATAAACATTTTTATGTAACGTTACTGAAAGTATGATAAACCTCGTTTTAATCTATTTTAAAACTAAGAAATGTATAAATAACATTTAAACTGCTTTAAATAATGTGAATACAAACTATTTTAGAACAAGCCCGCCATCGTTCTCTAATGCTAACTGATATATAAATATAAACTGATAATATATAATTTTAAATATTATATTTTTAAAAGATTTTTTAATGCTTAAAAGGAATTCAAATTAAACTAAAAAACAAAAAAAACAAAGGAAAATTAACAAAATGTTTATACATTTATCTAATTAAAAGCACAAAATATCTGGATAAAGAATCTTGTACGATTTTATGAGTCACATAAGGAAAGTATAAATGTTCCACTATCATGGAAAATAACCGCATAATACCACTCAAAATCGAAATTCTCGGTCACTATCTGTTCCTGGAAAATCCAATAAAGGGAGACGAGAACACATAAACAAATTAGGAAAGAAGTAACAAGTTTGTGGCAAAAGAAATTTAAATTTTCCACATTTATCAATTCAAGTCGTACAGGCAAAAGTCAATTGAGTGTTGAATATGTACAATAAGTGTGTAAAACAAAGAAAGTACAATCCATTGGTTTAATTTTTTGACATCACAAGTAAAGATGGTATAACGCCTCTGCAATGAGGACAAAAACTGCATCCTCTTCAAAAAAAAAGAAAAGAACAGGTCGGGTAAACAACTGGAAAGGCTGCTAGTTCAAAAACTATCCACCCATCCAAAAGAAGCAAACGCCCTTGAAGCCTACTTCAACAACAGTAACGGCAAAAGCAACAACGTCAACTTCCTAATCCGAGTCTGAGACAGAATATGAAGAGTCTCAAAATTCAGAATAACACTCCACAAGTTCCAGAAAGAATTACAACCAAATTAGTGACATCTTCAAAGTTATGAACCAGCAAAGTAGCAACCATTTGTTGAAAGTTATATCAAGATAGGATCAACACCTTGACAGTATTGTATACTCAGATCAACTATAAAGAAGCTATTAAACTTAAAGAAGAAATAAAGAAAAAACTACATTGAGAAATCTGGTCAGTGCACTTTGATGTTAAACGTATTAGTAACCAAGAATATCAAGTGTTAGTGTTGAAGAATAAAAAAAAAGAAGTTACAAGCTCTAGATCTACCAGACGGAAAGGCAGATGCTAAAGTTATACTAGTTGTTCTCGATAAATACAATTAATGGAAGAGTATAAAGATGATTGTAGCGGACACTACAAATGTAAACACTTCAAGAAGGAATGGGATTGTCAGTCAGTTAAAAAGGCGTTTTTCTAAAAAGAAACTGGAAGAGCCACAATTCATTGGTTATCAACATCATGTTCTTGATCAAGTTCTTTGCGTTGTAATGGATGAAAAGCTTGGAGAAAACAATATGTTACCCAATAACAAGATCCGTTTATCCAGGGATCTGTTAAAAACTATAAGCAGAAACATTTCAAGAATGGTAAAGGTAATTACTGAAACAGCAGGATGAGGTGATGATATGAACTTTCTATTACATTAAACTTGCGTAATCTGAAAAAGTTGTGGAATTCTGGAGCAATACTATCTTTTTTGACATTTATTCTTCTACCTTAGAGAAGAGACTAAATACTCAATATTTGTATATTCATCTTTTACAGATGGACGGACCATTAGTTTACAGACCAAATGTACAAAATGATTAGCAAAAGCTATATAGCAGCTTGCACAATCACGATAAAGCGTTAAACTCAGTAAAAATGTTTTGGAATCAGTAACCATCGAAACCAGAAATTCCAAAAACAAATCAGTGTGCAGAACGAGTAATCAAATGTCTTTAAAATCTTTTTGACAGAAAGAAAATCTTCAGCTTAGATTAGTTTAACAAAGCAAAAGAATTTAATACGCTTTAATTAAGCTGACTACGACGCAACAATTTTTTGATATATACAGCTTTTCGTAGTTTTGTTCTTTAAATTTGCAATTTTATATTTACTTGTTATTTAGAGCGTCATGATGTAACAATAAACTATTAAATGCCTAAAAACTACAAAATAACCCCGTCCAATGAAAAAAATTAGAATCAAAAAATTATGATCATAAAACTGTTTGAAATTATATGGTTTGTGGGTGACCTTTTTCAACAAGAAAATTGAATTAATGTTTTTTCATTACTTTGTTCAAATATTCACCTATTTATGACCCAGGAACATGGAATCACATTAAATTCATAACCCTAATGTATATACATATACATGTATATACATATAAATATATATATATATATATATATATATATGTATGTATATAAATATTTATATATATATATATATATATATATATATATATATATATATATATATATATATATATATTTATATACACACACACACACACACACACACACACACATATATATATTATATATATATATATATATATATATATATATATATATATATATATATATATATATATATATATATTATTAGATCATTCATAACAATATTAAAACACTCAACACTGTTGAAGTTGTGTTAAGCTCTGTTCCAATACTAATCAGCTAATTAGTTTTCCTGCTTTATATTATACAAATATTTTTAAAATAATATTACGTTTAATTCCAAAAATATACTTTTTCAAAAGATAAATAAAAAACCCACATATTTACACGTTAATAGATCATTGATTACAATATTGAAACAAAGTTCAATACTGATGAAATGGTATTTAGCTCTGTTGCAATATTAATCAGCCATATCAGCTAATCTGTTTTCCTGCGATTGTATTCTTCAAATCAATGAATAATTTACAAATAACATGTTCTATCGTTATTATTTTTTAACTATTTGTTTATTTATTAACAATATTTTGTGTTGACGTGTGCTAAACTATTGCATCTTATCAACTGTAAATAAAGTTTTTAAGTTAAACTTATTGTGTTACTAGGCAATATTCGACCATCTATTTCCTTATCTTGGTAACGCGTTGTTAAAAAACTGGCCTTTTTAAAATATTTGTTGGATTAAGCTGAAAACTTTGTGGTTTTTTTGTCGCGTTCACTATATAATATTAATTTTGGCCGGATAATCTCTGTGTGAGCAGTTGTAAATTGATTTTAACCAATTAAAGCAGTTAAAAAGATGTAAAGCAGTTGAAAATTGATTTTACCCGATTTGGAAAAAAACCCATGTGTTATTTTTGTAAGAAATAAAATAAACTTAGTATTTGTAAAAAAAATTTTTAGTATTGCACTAAGTTTTAGTTGATATTGACTCATAATATTTGTCAATATATGATTTCTAAATATCTTTCTATATATAAATCTGTATAGCAATACCAAACAAAAATGTCTGCAAAAAAGTACTCAAATAGAAGAATACGTTATTGTCGTAGTAATTTCAGAATTACTTGATAATGACAAAGTAATCAGTAGTGATGAAAATGATTAAAATTCTATTGAAAAAACGACTCACCCATTTAATGTGTCACGTGCTAACAGGTGAAGACTAAGGTTATGTTGTTATTGGTAAAATATTTAACTTTTTCTCTTGGCTGATGAGTATTGGACCTATTAACTATTATCTAGTCTATAATTAAGCTATTTTTTTATTCTTGATAATAGAAAAGTTTAAAAGAATATTTTTTTTATTAAAAAGTTCCTCGATTTCTATTTTTCAACACTGAGTTTAGCAAATAAAGAAAAATTATGACTATTTTGGATTCTTGAAAAAAATTATCGGTGTGATTGAATATACCATAACCACTTATGGTTTAATTCTCATTTAAATTGTTCAACTACATTAGGTTTTATAACCTGCGTGTTATTTTGCGCGACACGTTAATATAAGTATCTTTTTGAAATTGGGTGAAACGTAAAAAAATATGCGAGTGTTTTACATAAAAATTAGCTATAATATGTTTGGGTTTAATTTCCTTAAAGTTATTCCTTTAATAAATTATCTAAAACTTTGATTTTTTCAAAGCATTAAGTAAATCTTATAATTTATAAGTTTTACTTAAAACTATAAGTAAATCTTATAATTTATAAGATTTACTTAAAACTAAAAGAAAAGTTATAAATAAAAAAATTATAAGAACATCAAGTTTTGTGCCGCGGTGTAGATTTACAAATTTAAGAATTGCTAAATCTTATTGCTTTCACTCTTCTCAAACTAGTTCTAGACTAAAACGTGCAATATACTAAAGTTATTGAATCCAGATCAATAAGTAAAGTTTTTCTTTAAAATGAGAAATATGTTTTTTAAATTATTTCTTAACTCAGCTTCTGTTTTACATACGCTTTTATAACATTGGTGATACGTAAATGCATTAACATGATTAACATTATATGCGCTTAATAAATTATAATAAAGGTTTCCTACCAAAAATAATATTAGCTTAAATCCATGGAGAGATCATTTTCAGGTTCCACGTAAGAGTGATTAAATCGCTTATATTGTACTACCAATTATATTTATTTTAATAAACTTTAAAAATATTGGTTTAAATAATTATAAAAATAAATTAAATTTTTTTTGTTTAAACTATATATATATATATATATATATATATATATATATATATATATATATATATATATATATATATATATATATATATATATATATATATATATATATATATATATATATATATATATACACGAATATATATGTCTACTAGTATGTGTAGCGTAGTTTAAACAATAAACATCGTAAAACCGATTAGAAAGTTTATTGTGAAGTTATCGTAAAACCGACGTCATTATTGGCATATCATCAAATCTTTTAGGCCTCAAACCGATATCAAAAATTCTTTTTACTTAATAACTCTTCATCAATTTTCTTTTTTGTTTTTTAAGTGTTTGTAAAAATGCTGTCATTTTAACTGCCACCGTTGTCCAACATCATTGTTTCATATTACTATTTGAACTTTCTTATCTATTACGAAAGTAGACGCATTTCTTTGCATTTTATATTGTTTTCGTCTTGATCAAAACATGTAAATTCAGTTTCTGATTTTTGGTTCCAGTTGTTTTCTAATAAAGACTCATCTGTAAATAATAGGTTATTTTCTTTTTTTTTGACAATGAACAAGTGATAAGGAATCAGTATCTTATACGAAAAAATAAACAGGATCATTGATAATAAAATGAAACCGTTTGCGCATAAGAAAGTGTATCTAGGACCGTGTTCAATGTACATGAATGTTACCAAAGATGGACCAACAGTTCTAGCCAAACCACCCGACGCACCTAAAAAGCTTTGCATCACTCCCTAAAGGAAATGTAAACATTGAAAGTAATCAAAACATTAAAAGTAAACAAAACAATTAAAAGCAAAACATTGAAAGTAATACAATTAAAAACAACAAGAGTAGCAATATAAACAAAAATATCAAATTAAATACTATCAAAATATTTTACTTGGGGTTTTGAAGACAACACTTTTGAATATATAGACGAGATGAATACAATGGTAAGCGGATAACCAATCGATAATAAAACCATTCCTAGAATAACTTGAGCTAAATATATTTGAGGTGTGTTTTTACACCATTTGTATTCTGCAGGACATCCTACATGTAACGTGTTATTTGTAGAAGTTTTTATTCCTAAAAGTAAGAAGTTGATTGGATCACAGTATATTTATGATACATTTTGATTCAAAGTAACTTAATAATTCAATCAATTTCATAGTATTTTATCTTTAATTTAAGGATGTCATTCTAATAAAAAAAAAAAATATATATATATATATATATATATATATATATATATATATATATATGTATATATATATATATATATATATATATATATATATATATATATATATATATATATATATATATATAAATACCTTTAATTAGAGGCGTTTTACTTCCCCAAGGTAAATATACAGTGAATCCAAAGAAAATAAGAACCAACCCAAGCAGTAGCAAGTTTCGTTCATTAAATCTAAGAATAAATATTTGCCTAATATAATTTTAGTCAAATAAAAATAAGTCCTAAAAAAATAATCAAATAATCTAAAAACCTTTTTTCTAGTAAGTCAGCAGCTATAAAAGATACAATTGCAATTACACCGGCAGCCAGAAATAAACAGCTCACCCAGAGTGTTGCTTGCTCACCGTTCCATGAAAACATATCCATTGAGAGGGGTGCAAGTATTCTTAATATTTTAAAAAAATACCAAAATGATAGCTTTTTATTTTAAAAGTTTTACAACAGTTTTATTTTTTTATTTGCATAAGTATATACTCACGTTTCTTGTACTGCAAACGCATTCTGGACTGCAAAGTATACAATTATGTTAACAATAATACCAGTTGTATTACGCGATAACTTTGTGTTATTGTTTTCACAAATATCCTCTAAATATAAAGGAAATAAATAAAAATAAAATAAAAACTAATTACTTCAAAAACACAAAAAAGAGTATATATATTATTAAAGATTTAGTTAATGAAGTTTTCTGTACTTCAAGGCTTTCTTCAAGATACTTCAAGGCTTTTTTTCAGAGATTTTCTTTTAGAGTTATTTTTTTGCAAAGATTTTGAAACCACTTATAACTAGTAGATTAACATAAAATAGAAAATGTTAAAAAAAATTAAAACTGCATTATTTAAAAATATTTTAACCTTATAGCGAGTAAAGCATTTATAAAACGAGGGGATTAAATATTTAAATAAAATAGATAAATATTTAAACTTTATATATAGCAATAACATTTGGTTGGCAAAATATATATTGATTGCAATTTAAATCTAGTTATAAATTTTTATTCTATTTAAGTTAAAGCTATTTTTTTTTAATAATTAGTTTACTTTGACCAGGGGAATTTCAGGCAAATTCTATGAAATTAATTTTAATAAAATACATCAACTGTCAGATAATTTGTTTAAATAAAGATTGCAAATTATTTTTGTAATACAGAGATCGCTGTTAAAAGATAAAAATCGCTCCAGAAAAAAAGGGAACTCTTATGCTGGTGACATTTCAGTTGGATAGATTTTTGAATTTAAAAAGTGATAACTTGAGAATTTGTAAAAAAAGATTTTACTTATTTTTACTCAGCTATGTAAATGAAGAGTGTTCCTTAAAAGAAACTGAAAGAAAGAGTGTAAATGAAGAGTGTTCCCTAAAAGAAACTGAAAGAAAGAGTGTAAATGAAGAGTGTTCCCTAAAAGAAACTGAAAGAAAGAGTGTAAATTAAGAGTGTTCTCTAAAAGAAACTGGATTTTTTTCAATTCTTTTTGATGGAGGACAGAAATCTTTTCTTTAATATTAAATAAATTTTAACTGTGGAAATAAAATTTTCAAAATTTTATCTCTACAGATAAAAATTTGAAAAATTTTTCTAAAAAGAAGATATGTTATTAGGCATGGCATTAAATTTTAATAGTAGCGGTTTTGATGGACCTAACTGCGCCAAAAATGTTTGGAAAAAAGACTTTTTGTTCTCTAATTGAATATCCTTAAAAAAAGCAAATCCTTTAAAACTATTTTAAACATTTACGGAAATTTTTTTAATTTCACTTTGTACAAGGGGATATTGAGTATAATGTTGAAAAACACAGACTTGTCAGAAATATTCAAGTTAATAATTAGGTTAGCCTTGTTTGATTAAGTAGTCAAATATTGTTTTGAGATGAAACTACTAAATTTGTAGTTTCATCCTAAAACAATATTCGACTACTTAATCAAACAGGGCTAACCTAATTATTTTTTATATTTAATATCCTACACAAAAAAAGAATAGTTTTTGGAGTCCATGCCTCATTTTGATGCATTTGTAAAAAAGATTTTAGTTGGGTGAAAGTTTCATATACTTTGATTTCATCTCAAGGAAAACCTTAATAAGCAAATGAAAGATTTTTTTCTCAAAAAACGTCCATGGTAACCCCTTCCTCTTCCTTGACGGTTGAACCTCAACCTTCAAGTACTTTCAACTAAGGTAAATTAATTTTGAAAAACAATAATAATTTCTTAAATTCCAAAATAAATTAAAAGAAAGAGGCAGTTTTTAAAGTATTTTCAACGGATTCCTAATTATATTACCTACTAAACAGAGTGCCTTAAAAAATATGAATTAAAAGTGACTTCAACCGAACTCGCAACAGAAATCTAACTCCAGTTATTTTGAAGTTATCTTTGAAAATTACTGGTAAATTTATTATGAATAAATTACTTGAGATTTAATCATAATAAATTTACATAATTCTCATATTTATTATTTACTTAAAAACATTCCTTACTAAATATTTGCACACTAGTATCATTTTCTTGATCTTTGTAAATGTCGACTTGGTGCTCATTGTACCAAAATAATACAACAACAACATTCAATGCTGTCACAAATATGCTTGCAAATGCTGGTGCCGTATACACATTTAAATGGATTTTCAACGCTGGAATATCAACTCCATTATGCCCCAGAGGAACTGCTAACAGCTGAGCAACTAATATATAAAAATATTGATACAAATTATTTGCTTAGCATAGGCAACTAACCGAAAACATTTGAATAATAAATCAAAAAATTGTTATTATTTTGATATAAAATATTTTCCTTCGTACTTGGTCCAAATGAAAAACCTAATCCTTGCGCAACTGACATGCGCGACATAACTTTAGTTCTCTCTTTTAGTGTTGTAGCTTCTGCTGCAACGGCCCTTGCAACAACGTTTGTTCCTTTTCATAAAAAAAGAAAAAAGTGTTAAATTTAGAATAAATTTTTTTTTTTCTGTTTTAAATTTATTTTTTCTTACCAGTAGACAAACCAATGATTGTTCTAGAAAAGATTACCATTGGTATACCATATTTACCACACGACTGTGCATAACCGTAAAACAGGTTTCCAAATCCAAAAAAAATCAAAGAGAGGAGCAATGGTATAGTTGATCCTAGCTTGTTTGTTAGATAACCCATAAAAAAATCTACCAAAATTCCACCCAACTGAAAACCAATGTTAGCCCATCCAACATAAATTGGAGTGATGTTAGAGTCAATCTAATTTGTATAATAATATGAATATATATAATATTAATATAAATATATATAATATTAATATAAATATATATAATACTAATATTAATATATATAATATTAATATTAATATTATATATATATATATATATATATATATATATATATATATATATATATATATATATATATATATATATATATATATATATATATATATATATATATATATATATATATATATATATATATATATATATATATATATATTATTCCATTATTTTTCTATATTTAAATTGTCTTTTTAAATAGAGTTCTGTAGCTTAGGCTCACAGTACATTTTTTAAGTTAGTTTACTATTTTAAAGGTAATTTACGTAGGCTACATTGATTTTTCATTAAAGAATACTTTTTTACTTTAAGTTTTTATTAAATTTTTCTAGAGTAAAGGCATTGGTATACTTATGCATAAAATATAATTTATACATAAAAAAATTATATATAAATAAATATATAAATAAAATAAATATAACTTATACATAGTATAAAATTTAGGCGTTGCTAAATATTTATTTTATATATACTCATCATTTTAATGTCTTTTATTAAGGGTTTCGGGCGGTTCTCCTTTTTTTCGTTGTTAATAGTTCTACAAGCAAGCTTTTGTGAATAAATACTTTTTTTTTTTACAAAAAAAGGTTTCACTAAAAATGCTACCTTTTTAAAACTCGGCCATGATTAAACTCCTTTTAAAGTAAATTTTTTAAAGACTTAAACTGTCTGACATTTGTTTTTGTCAGTAAAGCTTAAATATTTATAAACTTTTGTGCTAAAACCTATTAGTCCCTGATTGATTTCTGACTCAATTCCCAAAACCTAATCCTCGTTTACGTCTATCCTTATGTTTCAGATAATATATCTACATTGAACTACGTCTATTCTAATGTGTCTTTCACTGTATGTACGTTTCAGCGTTTGTATGTTTATTTACGCCTATCCCTATGTCAATTGCGCATCTATATGACAATGTCCTAAAAAAAGAATTTTATTAAAAGAAAGCTTTATAAAAAGTGTAATTTAATTAAATTAAAAAAGCTGTAAATAAATTTTAATATCGGCAACTATAAAAAAATAAGTTTTTTTAAATGATTGCAAATAGTTTTTTCCAACAATGGAATAACAGTGGAATAAAAAAGATGGCAAATATTAGCATTTAAGAGTAATTTTTTTAAACGTTTGCTTGTATAATTAGATTCTTTTCTTGAACTTTTAGACATATTTTCTTTCACCGTTCTCAATCAGGATAAATTTCTCAACTATTATCAATCATAAAAAAAAGGAGGGGGGGGGCAGAGAAATAGCACTGTAACTTGTAAAAATATATTGTTGAACAGCTTGTTGCTTCTGAAATGAATTTTTGAAAAAAAAAACAAGTCAATTTCGAGAATAAAAACTGGTTTCATAAAAAATTATCTTATGTCTTTTACTTTTTTGTTTATTGTAAAACTTTAACATTTCGAAAAAAAAAAAAGAAACCGTTACCTTCACCATGTATGGATATATTGATGCAAGAACAATCGAAAATGCTGAAATAAATTTTTTTATAAATAAAAACTCAAATAATCAATATAAAAAAAATAAACTTAAACAAAAAAGTAGAAAATTACATAAACTGTCAAAGAACATCGTCATGTATAGAATTTTTATTGACCGCCATCGTTTTTTTTTGTCTTCCTTCGCTTCTACCTTCGCTGCCTGTATTTTTTTTCTGCAATGTTTTTAATTTGAAAGTTATAAATAAATGTAAATTTAAAAAGAATATTATTAAATAAATTAAAAGGTTCCAGTTGTACAGTAAATAAATAGAAACAATAAAAAAATATTAAAATGTTTAAACCACTCACCGAAAAAGCTTCATTTCTCGGTTACTAAAAATATTGTTAAGCTGAAACCTTGCTGCGAACAACTTTTTATGAGTTTCAAATTCAGCAACATTTAAGTTAATTACGAAAACAATGTAATTTAAATTAATGTTGTCGCCAACAATATAAACCCTTCTGAAAAAGAAGAATAATGCCATTCCGCTTCATAATCTTTTACAAAGCCCATAGTTATGCATTTTATGTAAAACAATTACGTCATTAAAATACTCTAGTAAGACAACCGCAAATGATTCAAAAAAAAAAAAAAAAAAATTACTAGAAAAAGATTTTATGATTTATTTTAAGCGACAAGTTTACTCAAAGAAAAAGCTAAAGATTGGTTTAAAAAAAAATTAACTTAGCTATAACTTATTTTGACGTTATACGACAAAATTATTTTTAAACGTATTTAACTCTTTGTAACGTTTTCTAAATTTTTAAAATAGTTCATTTCAATCCACTTAATCTTTGCTTTATAAGTGCAGCCAAAGTCAGACTTCCAATAAAATTTTACATATTTTATATTTCCTGCCGATAATTACAATTTACTGATTATTTATTCTTGTGCGCTCAAATCAAAGAAATGTTAGATTTAAAAATAAGAAAAGTTATTGAATGATCACTGTTTAAAAAAAAGGTGAAAAACGTTTATATGTTTAAAATAGGCGGTGCTCTAAATGGTTCTAAAGTTTACACCTTAGTTAGCCAGAGTTTTTTAATTAGTGCCAAGCTAAAGCTATTAGATAACAATGACTTCTTTTCAGCAGTTTTTTTCAGAAAGCTTCAAAATCTGAAATATTAATTATTTTGCTCTATTTGATAAAATAAACAAAAATTAAAAAAAATAAGAATTGTCTAAATGCAACTATATGCAGCTATGTTTGAATATCTTAAAAACAAAGTTCATATTATTTCAAAAATCAAATAAATAAATAAAAGATATCCCTCTGATTTTCTTTATTTCTCTTATTTGCCCAAAATATTTTCCGTTAATATGTTGCCCAAACAATTTTCTATTAATTTGTTGCCCAAACTATTTATTAATAATCTTTAAAGACTTCTGTTATTTCTTAGACTCCATAAAAATGAATAAAAGTTAAAATTAAGTTAACATAAATAAAGTTACCTCAAAAATTAATAAAAAAATTAAAATTCAAAGATCCCAACCCATGGAATTCTCGAATAAACTCTTTAGGAAAAAAAAAACAAAAAAAAAACATTAGTGTTTTATATAAAGTAAAACCATTTTTGAGTATAAAATTTTATAAAAATATTTTTCATTAACACACAACCACTTTATCAATGGAAAAATAGTTTGGATTAGTACTAATCACTCTGAACTAGACAAATTATAAAACAAAACAAAAAAACTAAAAAAAGTATTTGGAATCAATAAAAAAGTTGTAAACCTCTTTTATGAAATTTAGACACTATCATAGTTTTAAATTTAACATTTATCTTTTTTAACAGTTTTGTTTCTAAAATCATTTGATTATTATTTAAGAGAAGTCAACCAATTAAATACCCTATTTAATTTTCAGAAAACAACTTTTATGTCACTTTCAGTTCGGTATATTTTAAATGTTTTATTTTTGAACTGTATAACCTGATAAAAAGAAATGCAAATTAAACAAAAAATTTAATGTATAAATTTTTTTATCGTAGTTCATATTTTCAAAAACTTATTCAAAACATCTTGTATGCTTTACATCTACAATTGTAAATGCGTTAACAAAAACTGGACTAGGTAATAAGACCTTACTGTCTTGTTTTTGCTCCAACCATGATGTGTGTGTGTGTGTGTGTGCGCGTGTGTATTTATTTTTAAAAGGCGGAGTAAACATGTTCAATAAAAAATTGAAAGGTTTGTGCTTCAAACCCTACGATTCTCTGCAAAGGTCCAATAAAATAGTATCGGTGAGATGGTTATTAACACCTTTGTAGTTATCATCAGGTACTCTGTAACAAGACCATTATATTTTCTTGAAGCAAATTTAGTTAGAAATAGGCTTTGAAGTTTTTAAAAATTTAATCAATTGGATTGCAATTTTGAAACAGGAAAACGCTTCTATCCTATTTTACTTGAATCAATAGTGAAAGATTTTTAAAATTTGTATTGTATAGAATTAGAAAATATCTGAAATTTTTAGCCATTTAAAATTCTTTACAATTAAATATGGAATATAAAAAGCAAAATGTGGTTTTGTACTTTTTGTATATACAAGATTTATTTTTAGTATGAAGAAGTTTTTATTTATCTTTCTTAACTTTTCAAAACATATGTTTGGATATAACTACATTTTATAACTAATGGGTTTAATTGCATTTGAATATTTGGATATAATTTCATTTCATAACTAGATAAATATAATTACATTTTATAACTAACCCTAACTAACCCTTTTTTTACATGTGGTGATATAATTTTTAAAACCATTTAGACTTTTTCACAAACTTTTACGGAAATGAAATTAACTGTCCAATCATGTTTTCAAATAGACGAATAAGATGGACGTTGTAAATACGGTTTTAGGATTCACTCATTTTTGTCTTAGGCTAATAATATAAAACTTAGTTATTAAATTAGTACAAGTGGTGTCACACCTTGTATGAATTAAACAATTTTAATATTGAGAGAACTCCAAATGATTGCTACTATTCCCATGGAAACCAAAATTAAAAACATTTAAATTAATGTGTCATAAATAAGTTTTGAATATAATAAATAATAACAATAAGATTACGACAGGCCTAAAATTATAGAAGACTGCTGATACAGTTCAAACATGTTTTGAGCGTGATTTTAAATATACAAATCGTGACGTTATAATGACAGGGTTTTATCTTCCTTTTGTTGAGAGAATTTAACTTTTAGTTTTTAACTATTTAAACGTTTTACAGTTGTTATTGTTTATATTGATAAAATATGTTTTTTATGTTACTTTATTTTATAATTACTCTTATATTATTATTTATATAGTTTTTATAGTTATTTATAAATTAATTGTTAATGCTAATTTTATTAAATAATGTTGAAATTAACAAAAACAAGTAATTTCAAAAGTTATTTTAAAAAAACAGTAAGATTAATATATAAATTTACATAATTGTAAAAAAAAGAATAAATAAAGACCGAAATTTTATAATTATATTAATGTATATAAAAAAAATTTTATATACATTAATATAATTATGAAGTTTAATTTTTTTTTAACTTTTTTTCTAAATCTATTTTATAAACTTTTACATAATTATTAATTATTACTGGTTTTATAACTATTCATAATATGAGTATAAATTTACATTATAATTATCGTTATTATTATTATAAGTTTATATATATATATATATATATATATATATATATATATATATATATATATATATATATATATATATATATATATATATATATATATATATTGGATGTAATTTATATAATAAAGCAATATCTTAGCCAGAACTTGTCAAGGCATGTTTTGAAATCATGTTATTTTAAATCAAGTTCTAATAATTTTAAACTTAATTTGAAATTATTTTAAACTTAATTATTATTATTAAAAAAGATTTTTATCCATAATGGAATTTTTTTCACAAAAAAATATTGTATTAAGGTCACATCCAAATATTTTTTTACTATTTACATTAATTTAAAATTAAAGCTTTAACTTTGAATTTATTTAAACTTTTAAAATTTAAATTATTTGTAAACGTAATCATATGAATTCAGTGAAATTTGTTTTCATATTCAAAGTGCTCTGAGACTTCTTTAAAAACCTTACTGGGTACAGTGTTGCAAAATTAGATTTTCAAACATCTGGCTTTAACTTTCTTTTCTTTCGTTAATCAACTTTTGAACTCCCCCCCCCCCCCAAAAAAAAAAAATAATGTTTATAAATTATTTAAGTTTTTTTGTATCTCAAATAAATTTAAAAATTTCATAGGAATAAAAAAGTTTCTAATTTATTTTACATTTTTTCTTTTATCATGTTTCAAAAAATTTTTGATTGATATTTCTTTATAAAAATGTTATTTTTTTGTTTCAGTTTGTTATTTTTCTTTCAAATTGTTACAAATATTATAATTTTTAAGTTGTCATATCCTTTTGAAAAGTTCAAGCTGAAACCCTTTCCTTTGCGTTAAAAGTTCAAGTTGAAAACCTTTCCTTTGCGTTAAAAGTTAGAAAACGTGAATTTAAGTACCTATTTTGCGACAAAAAAATTAAGTATTACAAAATTAGGCTAAGATTTAACATTACTTTTCTATAATGTTCGTCTGGTGGATAGAATATATCTATAAAAAAAAATAAAAAGGTAATGTTTTTAAAAAAAAAACCAACATACTTTCATTGACCAGTTAATATGAAAATAACAAGATGTTTTATAAAAAGCAATAAAATGATTATAAAATTTATTAAGCATACAAAAGGTGACATAAAAATAAAATAAATTTTTTCTACTTTTTAAAAAACGTTTAAGCATATATATATATATATATATATATATATATATATATATATATATATATATATATATATATATATATATATATATATATATATATATATATATATATATATATATATATATATATATATACACTTTTTACAGAATAGTATACACTTTTACAAAAAATGTATAATAATTTTTTTTATTTTGTGCTAAATAATGCGCAAGAGTTTTCGTACAAAATTCGGTTTTGTAAAATGAAAGTATGGGACAGGTAATTTTTAAATTGATTAAACACTAAATTGTTATATACCTAACATTATTTGCATTGTTAATTTGATCGAATGATATTCCTATTAAAATGAAGTTTAAATAATATTTTAGCTGCAGGGAGTCATTCTTTTGTTGATCTTTTTTTTATTATTATTAAACATATAAATAACAACAACAACAACAACAACAAAAAACTAATGATCTAGATAAAAAAAAATTAAAAAAAAATTCTTTTGCTAAAATAATAATCTATTATATAAAAAAATCTCCGATAAAATTATAATCCTTTGTAAAGCTCTTTAAGCTTTTGATAAACCTAAATAATGTTCCAATTGTAAATTTGTGTTTAAAAAAGATTCACTAAAACATTGTGTGTATAATAGAGCATATTTTTGTTTTTCATAATAGACGTAAATCGTAATAGACGAGTAAAACATAAAAATATGCAAAAT